CTATGGCGGCTATGGCCGCCTCTACCCTATCGCTATGGCTAAGCTCCGTCTCTCTGCCCACTTCGTCTTCGGGCCCACTGCAGACCTCCTTGCACAAGTCGCTGTGGCCGCGCTTCCGCATGGCTCACGCAGGAATGAATGAATGGCTGGGCGCTGCCTCTTGATTTATACTTCTGCAGCTCGTTGGTCTGGCCCTTTCCCATGCCCGAAGTGCACACAGTCCCATGCGGTACTTGCTTGACTGGACCAGGACTAACTGGGGACTGGGACTGCTGACTCAGCACGGGTAGACTCCACCACTTGACCACTTGCCTCGCTACTTGCCCACTTGCCTCAGTCTAAACGTGGGCAACTTCGAAAGGCCAGTACTGGGACCTTCCGGAAGGCCGTAGACTTGGCCTTTCGTGACTGTAGCAGCTACGACTTTGACCCTTCTGGACTGTAGCAGCTACGACCTTGACCTTTCGGGAAAGCTACAGCTACGACTTCTAGACCTGACTAAGACTCCTACTCGACAGGTCTACAGATCGAACCCCGGCGACCTCTGCACCCTACGACAGTCTACCACTGTTACAAATACACAGGTCACGGGTTCAACTCTAAGGGCCGACACAGATATTGTACACAGGTAAGGTGGGGACTAGGGGTCGAGCCCTGGGATCTGCATCAGCTACTGCGAGTTGGTGAATACCGTTTCAAACTCAATGATAAGAACTCATTTTAAGAAGCAAATTGAGACAATATAGAAACTGATAAGACGATGTGAAGAAGAAGACGATCAAAAGCATGGAGTTATCTCAAGATGTATAATTTATTAATTTTCACCTTGTTGAAAATCAGATGGTAAGTAAAATACTAAATAGCCATTACTAAACAATGAATACAATAGTAACAATACTCAAAAAAAGTTTTAAAAACTGCTTCTCCCTCTTTTTCAACTGGAATCCTCCTCACCACCTCAAGTCACCCAATGGCTTGTATCTTTCGGCGACTCCACCGCCAGTCTGGACACAACGTCACTTGTCAAGTCAACCTCTCTACAGCACTGGCTATCCCAAGCTACCGTCCTCTGCCCTCGCCGAAATAGAACATCTGATCATTATAGCTGTACTTGGGGCAACTTTCAGTCTAGATGTTGAAGTAACGACCGGGTGAAGATGGTGGCACAATGAAGCTGGAACTGAAAATGGCAATGGCAATCTTCTACAGATGCATGGAGTGGAGTATTCTTCCTCCAAATCACGACCACACATTTCCGCCCTGAAGCTCAGACTGGTGACCTTTTCTCTTTTAACCTTTTTTTTTTTCTTTCTGAAAATAAGTTTTAATAACCCAGTGTCTCTAACAACCTCTCTAGCACAAGTGCCACACTCTGTGTATAGCACAAGCACCAACAGGATGAAGTGTTGGATAATGAGCACTGGTCTCCCTCCTCCTCTCTTCTTCTTCCTCAGGTTGGTAGCTATGGCCGCCAGTCAACAGGTAAGCTTCCTGCACCTTCTTGCCAGCCCCTGTGCAATGGTTATCTCCTCCTTCCTATCTCCACCCCTGACCCTCCTCTTTATGGTGTCAGGCAAGCCCTAGTCCATAACACCACCTCTGACCCTTGGATGAAGAATGTGGGGGGGCGTTAGGCGGTACGTACTGGGGTGCCGTTTCGCCGAAAATCCATCCATGCAAATCAGACCTTGCATGCGACCAGTTTTTCCTAGACGGATTTTCGGCGAAACAGCATGCTGGCACGTCCCGCCTGACGTGGCTGCATCCATGCCGCGTCTTAGAAAAACGGCTCGGAAACATACCGGTGTTTCAATCTTTAACCCCCCCTAGAGCCCTCACCATAACGTACAACTAAGGAAAAAAAAAAAAAAAAAAAAAAAAAAAAAAAAACATACAATTGAGGTCATAGAGCACTGGAAAATAATTGACCGACCACTCTGCAATTCCAAATTCCCCAATAGTGATGGAGTGACATGTCAGCAAGACGTTCAAAGGTTTCATCAGTGCTTAGCAATCCGAATCACAAGATTCACAGTGAGAGGGACGTCTGCAGAAGGAAACCCTAAAACCCTAAACCTCAGAACCTACACCGTAAACCCTAAACCCTAAGCCCTGAACACTTACACATAAAACCTAAAACCTTAAACCTAAACCTTAAACCCTAAACCCCAAACCCTAAGCCTTAAAACCTAAGCCGTGAACACTTACACATAAAACCTAAAACCTTAAACCTAAACCCTAAACCCTAAACCCTAAACCCCAAACCCTAGGCCCTAAGCCCAAAAACTTAAGCCCTAAACCTGACATCAGCGGGAAGGAACCCCCGGTTAAGGGGAAGGTAGAAAATTCAGGAAAAGGGGGGAGAAGCAAAGCCCTGCTCACCTTCCGACACATTTAGGTTCTCCTTCACACATATTCGGTAAAATTTTAGTGCAACCCTATTTGCGAGATCCTCCGATTCTTCTCTGGAATAAGTTCACATGAGCAAACATGAAAAGAACAAGAAGATAAAAAACGTGATCAGCAAATGCAGACAAGTGCAAGAAAAAGCAAAGCCATAATCTGACACCCCCAGGAGCAAGTTAGAGTCGCAATAACATAACCCCTCCATGAGAAAGTAATTCTTAATGCGAGAATGTGACCCCTCTAAGAGAAAGTAATTCTTTATGTGATAATGTGACCCTCCCAAAGATTACTTTGTAATGCAATAATGTGACCCCTCTGAGAGAAAGAACCCCCCCCCCCC